CCCACGTTTGGCCATTAAAAATTAAGAGGGGTTTCTTGGCTGTGGAGGTTCCTCCAGAGGAGTAAGGGGTCCCAGCCCCATACCAGGATCCCTAGAATAGGGCTTGAGTGCTGGAAAGAGAAGTCTCCACAAATCCTAGCTCTGAAACTAGTGGAGACTGTGGCTGAGTGAAACGGAAGACTGCTGGAGTCACAGACATACCTCTTAAAGGGCCTACGCACAAACTTACCCACTGACAACTCACTCCCTCTGAGTTCCAGTGCTGGGGCAGCAGCTCAACAGGCACCAGGGACATACAGGGAGGAAATGAATTGTCTGGCTAGGGTTAGAGCTGAAGGGGCACCTTTTCCCTAGACAGAAATACAGACAGAAGCCATTGCTCTTTTGTTGAGCCCTTCTCTTACCCAGTCTGCACACATAGGCCTAGCTGGGCTCCATATCTGAGTTTCTATCAAATTGGAAAACCATTCACCACACCCTAGTGATTCCCTGAGACCCCACCCCACCTGACTGCAGACCCACCTAGGTCATTTCCAGTGGCTTTTCCATACAAATAGCCTGTCTTGGCTTATGCTGCAGACTTTCCTAAAATCTCTCAAAGGTTGACAAACCTCCAACAAGTATCATCTGGCCTCAGCATGCCCAGTACGTCTTGTTAAGCAGCCCCAGTCGTAGCACTACCGGCAGCATGCCTGGGTTTGCAGCTTAGCCTTGCAGGCACCTTCAAGCACAGCCCAAGTGGTAGCCATGTGCAGAATGCTTGGTGGCATATGACAGGTGACCCCAGGAAGGGCACAGGCTGCAGCTAAACTTGGCCTGAGGCAGGGCCCCTCCCAGGAAGCCCTGATCTGCAGTCTGGTATCCAGCTTCGATCTGAGCCAGAGCAACACCTGGGGTCACATCTGAGGATGACACACCCACAAGGCAGACAGGGCAGGCACTAAAGACCTGATAAAGCAAATCCTGCTCTGTAGTAAGTGTCCCTGCACAGCAGCTTCTCCACTGGTCATGGCCAGTCATCACGACCAGTCCCAGGGTCAATCCTTCCCATTGATAAGCAAACAGCAATAAAGGCTCAACTACAACAGGAGAGCACACACAACCTATAGAAGGGACACACCAGCTCATGCGACCAGGGAGATTGTGCCATTTGGCCCCACAAGACACTTACTACATAAGGCCACACCACTAAGAATGGGAGACACAGCAACCCTACCTAATACATAGAAAAAAATACAGGGAAGCAGTCAAAATGGGGAGAGAAAAACAAAAAAACAAAAAACACACACATCTCAAATGAAAGAACAGAACAAATCTCCAGTAAAAAAAAAAAAAAAAAAAAGACAAGCAATCCACCATATTCAGTGTTCAAAACACTAGTTATCAATGATCTCAGTGAGAAATTCAGCAGAGATAAGACACATAAAACTGAAAATAGAAAACATAAAAAAGAACCTGTTGGAAATGAAGAATACAATAATTGAAATTTAAAAACTGTATATTAGAAGGAATCAACAGTAGATTAGATAAAGAAGAGGATTGAATCAGTGATTTAGAGGATCAAGTAGCAGAAACATCCAATCAGAATAGCAAAAGAAAAAAGTGATGATAGTTTAAAGGGACTCTAGGGAACCATCAAGTATACCAACATTCACATCAAAGAGGTATCAGAAGGAGAATGGAGAGAGCAAGGAATTGAAAACCTATTTGAAGAAATAATGATAGACAACCTTCCTAACCTGTTGAAGGAAACAGACATACAAGCTCAGGAAGTGCGGAGTCCTAAACAAGATGAACCCAAAGAAGCCCACGCCAAAATACATCATAATTAAAATGCCAGAGGATAAAGACAAAGAGACCACCTTAAAATTAGCAAGGAAGCTCCCATAAGACTGTCAGCTGATTTCTCAACAGATAATTTGCAGGCCAGAAAAGACTGTCAGAAAATATTCTGTGATAAAAATTAAGAACCTACAACCAAGATTACTCTGCCCAGCAAAGCTATCATTTAGAATCGAAGGACACATAAAGATCTTTCCAGACAAGAAAAAGTTAAAGGACTTCATCATTGCCAAACCAATATTACAGAAAATGTTAGAGGGACTTCTTTAAGAAGAAAAAGGAAAAAAGAAAAAAAATATGAATAATAAAATGGAAATAACTACATATCTATCAACAATTACTTTAAATGTAAATGGATTAAATGTTCCAATCAAAAGATAGGGTGGCCGAATGGAAAAGAAAAACTGACCTTTACATATGCTGCCTATGAGAGAATGAATGCACATCAAAAGACACACAAAGACTGAAAGTAAAGGGATGGAAAAAGATTTAATGAAAGTGTTAATAAAAAAAGAGCTGGGGTAGTAATACTATACCACAGCAGTCCCCAACCTTTTTCGCACCAGGGACCGGTTCTCCTATGAGAATCTAATGCCTGATGATCTGAGGTGGAGCTGAGGCAGTGATGCTAGCACCGGGGAGCAGCTGCAAATACAGATGAAGCCTTGTTTACTCACCCACCACTCAACTCCTGCTATGCAGCTCAGTTCCTAACAGGCCATGGACCGGTACCAGTCTGCACCTGGGGGTGGGGGAACCCTGGTATATCAGACAAAATAAACTTTAAAACAAAGACTATAACAAGAGACAAAGAAAGACCCAGTAATCCTACTTCTTGATATTTATTTGAAGAAACCCAAACACTACTTTGAAGGACCACGTGCATTCATATGTTCATCACAGCTCTATTTACAGTAGCCAAGATATGGAAGCTACCTGGGTGTCCATCAATGGATGAATAGATAAAGAAGAGGTGGTACATATATACAACAGAATATTACTCAGCCTAAAAAAAAAAAAAAAAAAAGAATTAAATCTTACCACCTCCAACAATGTGGATGGACCTAGAAGGTATTGTGTTGAGTGGATAAGTCGAAGAAAGACAAAGACAAATGTCATATGATTTCACTTATATGTGGAATCTACAGAACAGGATAAATGAACAAACAAAACAGAAACAAGCGCATAGATATAGAGAGGATTTTGATAGTTATAGGATGTAGAGAGTGAGAGAATGGGTGAAATGGGGGAGGAGTTTATGAGGTACAAATTTGTAGTTGCGATATAATCATGGGGATGTATAGCATGGGGAATATAGTAGTATTGTAATAACTATGTATGGTTATTACATAGTCAGATGAGTACTATATTTATCAGAGTGATCACTTCATAAGTTATATAAATGTCTAATCACTGTGCACTCTAAACTAATATAATATTGTTTGTCAACTGAATTTAAAAAAATAAAATAATAATTAAAATAATAACGGTGAAACTGAAGCTAGTAAAAAATTGCTAAGTTTTATTTCATTTAAAAAGTTATTTTATATAAAACAAATTTAATCTCTTTAAAAGTTCTATCAGGAAAGAAACATATACTATAAAAAGACATCACTATAGGTTAAATTTTCCTTAGGGTAGTGGTTGGCTTATGAAAAATTAAAAATTACACTCTGTTCTCTCAGGCCTCCAAATATTCAAATACAGTTGATATTGTTAGGCTGTATGGTAAAATAGGAAAAAAAAATGCTATATTTTGAGTTGCAGTCCTTTTTCTCTCATGAACTGGCTTTGTGATCCTGGACAGGTATTGAAACATGGATTAAATGTCCGTATGTCTAAATTGCCATGAACATTAAATGAGATCAGGTATGTAAAGTGACTGATGGAGCCTAGTATGTGGAAAGCCTTCAACAAATAGTAAATGTTATTGTTTTTACTATCATTAGTAAATACAGAAGGGGTAAAATAGTTTAAAAGAGCAGGGAATGAAAAGAGGCTAATGGTATGATTCAATGTTAGTTTAAGCTTGCTTTAGGAAAAAGCAAACAGAAAAATGAGTAGTATCTCAGTAAGAAATGACAACTAATGATGATTATTGAGTACTTTTCTGTTAGGGCTAAGTGCCAGAGGGATATTTCTTATATGCTGTTATTGCTTTTCATTTTGAACCCGAAATTTATAAGATGAAGGGAGGTAAGAGAAGTTTATTCCTTATATTGATTGAGAATAGCCTAAAAACATCTTAAAGCTGGATAAAACTTACATACTGTGGTTGAACAAATTAGTGTCCAGCTAGTAGCAAGAAAAAGTGGAGAACATCCATGCCCTGCTATTCGAATTCTCTGAAGCAGATTTCTCAGAGAGAAGATCTATGTCCTTAAAAGATGTTCTAAGGTAACATATACCTCACTGTTGAGAATATTTGAAGCATATCTAAATAATTAAATTCATGAAACAGTAAAGAAATACCACTTATTTTTGCACAGATCTAAAATTACTTTAATTTTTACTTTGAATATGTCTCTTCCTTATACACATTTTTCAAAAGAACTATCTGATTAATGTTCCACTTAATGTTTGAATAAAGCATTTACTTTTTGAAAAAGCAGTTAGCTGCGTCTTTGCAGGCTTTCACTTCTCAGCCACTGTCACTTAGAGAAATGGTTGACTTGTCTGGCTATGTGTCCAGGGAAAGCACCACTCATCTAGTGACATCTCCCCATACTGCAAGTAAAAACCATTACAAGAATAATCTAGGTTCAAAGGGATGAACCTAGCCACTTTAGTCCTATTTTAGTGATGGGAAATGCCATGTTTCCCAACAGGCTATTATTTCCTGAATGAAATCATTTTAAATGTCAGTAGAAAGCTGCCATGTTATAAAAATGATTATATTCCATGAAGAAAAACTCATTTTAAAAAATGACCAAAAAAGCACAATATTCTTCAAAGAGTTTACCCCAAACCACAATTTTGAAACAAAAATCTCAAATAACTTCAAAATATGAGTTAAGTGACCCAGGTCTCAAGTCTAACTGGATACCAACACAGCTTTTTACACCAAACAATGGTTTAAAACAAAACAAAACAAAACTAAACAACAAACAAAAAAACAAAAACAAAAACATTAGGGGGGAAAAAAAAGTACACATTACCTGGTAATTGTTTTGGTTTTGTGATAACCTTAATTGGTTTGATGATGCAAAATGTGAAGAAAAATTACTCCGTGATGGATTTGTATTACTGTACATTGTAGTAGATGCTGTATGTAATGAGGTCTGTGGTGTCAAATGGTAGTCTCTGTTTTGATACAGTACATTGTCTGACAGGTCTCTAATATTCACCATTTGTGATTTTGGCATATTTCTTCCTGGTCCTGGCAAAGCTGTACTTTGGTTCTCAGCTCGAAGGGAACTGCAACTTTCATAAAATCTTGAGTAGCTTGGTATCTGTGCTCCCATCAATGCCAACTCTTCCTCTCTGGCATACTCATCATCAGCATCTCCAGTCTCCATTGCAATGGACAAACAAGTTCCTTCTGCTGCATTAGGCTTTTGTGGGGTATTTCCTTCCAGAATTCTCTGGGGGTAATCACTAACTGCTAATGAAAATACTTCACGGATTTCCAAGTTTTGTGTTCTACAGTAAGGATCTCTAATAGGTGTCTTTTGCCCATATAAATTATGTGATCCTAGACCCGTATGTTCAGGTTTATATGACCTTTGAATTCCAACTTCTTCAATTTTGCAAGGTCGGTGGCACACAGATGGCTTTTGAGGTACCATCATCTCAGAGGCTTGCATTGAAGAGCTTCCATAGTTTTTCTTTGTGTGATTGTAAACTGAGTTTCCAGCATTTAGCACACTTGTCTGTCTTGACAAAATAATTGTTTTTTCTCCTAAGAGCAGAGAGGCATTTTTACAGTGTGCTACTTGTCTTTGAACAGGAATATGTAACTGAAACTCGGTATCATTTTTACTGGCTGTTTTCTGAATAGGGATTTTATGTGCTTCTGTAATTTGTGTGTTTGTATGTTTATTTGTTCCTGGCCTACTTGATGAACTGGCTGGGCTATATATACCAGTTACAATAACATCATTATTGGCAGATGTCCAAGAAGACTGTTGGCCTGAGGGTCGAGCCATATTAACCACATTTCTGACTGTTATGTCTGGAGCTGCCAAAGAGGTACCAGACACAGTTCCTGCTGTTGCTGCTCCTGATTCAGAATTTTTACTGCTCATTTTTCTTCTCTTATTGCCAACCCACGTCTGGAAAGATAAAAATGATATTATGGAAAAGTTCTTAACAAAGAAATAAGAAAAAACAATTTATAAGTGATAAATTGTATTCTCATTTGTCATAGAACCAAGGTTTATACAAATTAAAAGAAAAAAGATGCAATAAATTAAAAATAACTAAAGTATAAGGCCAGAAAAAATCAGACTTGCATTTAATATCTAGAAACTTTGATGAGAGAATTGCATTGTCACTCCTCTCCTCCTAAAAGTCCATCCAATTTATCTGTAGCAAGAACCTTAAAAATGTTTGTATCTTTTGACCTTCCACTTCTGTGAATTTATAAAAATAATCATAGATGCATACAACATTTATATGCAATGATGTTCATCACATATTTATTTATACTAGTGACAAATTGGAAGCATACTAAAGGTAGGATAGTGACACTGAAAAATGCTTGTATAGTATTGTTAAACAAATATATGCATGCAATTTTCAGGTTTAACAACTTCTGTTCCATTAATACATCATAACGTGGTTAGTTTAATATTGCTAGGTATTCAGATTATTTTTGGAAACATTCACTATTATGAACCATATTGAAATACACATCATTGTACGTGCATCTTTGTGCTATTGGTCCATTAGAATGCTATTGTAGAAAGAAAATCCCTGTGTTTTTTGATATTTTTAAAGTACCCTCTAATGTATAAGATTTCTGAATTCTCCACACCCGCACCAATCTTTTGCATTATCTTTCTGTAGCCTTTACTAGCCCAGAAGTTATAAAGATACAACACTGCAGTTTTGATTTGAATTTCTATGGTTACTATATTACTTCAACAGAATTGCTTATCTATTTCCTTTACTTATTTTTATATTGGTGTATTTGTCTTTTTAAATCGATTTATAAGAATAATTTTCTACTAAAGATAGCAACACTTTGTCACAAGTTGAAAATATTTTTCCCAGTTTGTCATTAATTTATGGTACTTATTTTCTTCTTACACTTTTCTCTATTTACCAAATTTTATATAATGAATATGTAGTACTTTCATAAATGAGAAATAAATTATTAATAAAAATAATACTAGCGATTGGCATTTAGGATCTGATTAAAAATATGTACTTTAATATAAATAATTATTTATAATAATCTTAGTATTATTATGCTGAATCATGATTCATCTTAAAATATGCAATAAGAAATATTATGTTTCATAATGTGATTAGTAAACTTTATAATTATTTCAAAATGCATACTGTATTATAAACTTCCAAAACATGTTCATATATTAAGAATTTAAAAAAAAAATCTAAGTGAAAACATTAAATGAGCTAGCTTTGCACAAACATGATGCAGGGTATATTTGGTTAACTTGTGTGATGTGGTTTTGAAGACCAAGAAAATTATCCAATTTTCAATGTTTATACTATATTTAATGTTTATACTATAAACAACATTAGTGTTTCTGTAATACTATAAATAAAAGCTATCACGTATGGAATCTCCATTATGTGTTTTTATATATATTAGCTCCTTCACTAGGTGTTATTTTTCTAATTATATAAGTGAAGAAGTTGAGGTTTAGAACTATTAAGTAGTTAGTGGATATTTGCCATAAGGATTCAAAATCGATATTACTTGACCTCAAAGCATATTCTCCTTCCACTATCGTGAGAAACTCCTGAAATGGTCATCTCTGTTGGTGATTTTACTTTTATAATTAGTATTTCTCTTCTAAAAAAAAGAAAAAATGGAAACTGAGATGGTTCCATTTTGTTTCACAGGAGTCTGTGGGAATTTTAAACTTGCTCCAATTTATTTTTACCAAACAGCAGAAGTGACAATTACAATAGGGACAAATGAATATAAATAGCACAAGAGAAAAAGACAGAGGAGAAAAACTAAAATGTTTTTAAAGTGTATACTCAAGAGAAATGTTTAAAAAGAAATGTTTTTGGATATAATTTGAATGTATGGATCAAAAAGGTGAATTTTACAAATATTCAAAATAAGTGATTGTGTTATGGCTTTTCAAGTATGAAAAGTATACATAAGAATCATGATGCATTTGTTCATAATTATTATAAAAATATATAAGCATTGCATTTAAACACTTTAAATGGGAAAGCACAGTGAATTGGTAAAATCAAGATCTACCACATCTGGAGGGCAGCTTTGTGCAATATTTCTAAGAAAAATAAACAATCTATCATGTTCTCATCACAATACGACAATACCTACCTTAACAAAAGAAGTTTAAGAGTGAACTTAGTGCATTGCAAGTTTATGGCTTACTTTTATAGTATAAATATTTACTTATATAGTTTATTAGGTATTTAAATTATATACCTATCCAAGAGTAAAATGCAGTAGAATATCATGTGCATATGAAACTCAGCTAACCTCATTTGTCCTGAGGGCAGCCAACACAGATGTCACAAGATCTATGTACTTTATAAGAAAAGGACATTCCCTGACCTTTCTTTAAACACACTTTATTTTGTTTTATACATAATTTTTACCAAATCTGGTATCCTAATCTATAAAAAATTAGAAATAACAAAATAGAAGGGGCACTGGTGATAGAATTCGCTTTTGGACATGCCTTGTTAACATCAAAACTAAGAATATTTACTAACTATTCCTCACTAAAAAGGAGAAGAAAAGAAAAAAACAAAAGAGAATCAATGAGAAATCATTAAATAGTATGGTGTTTTTTTGTAAAGGAAAAATTCACCCCATATACCCTACCACGTTGTGAGCATTATTGTGTGAGCACAATACGATAATTGATTTCCATAATGAAACTAAGTCAGAAAGTAAGGGTTTAATTCTTTTCAATATTCTCTATGAAAGTCAAAAAGTATACACTTAAATATTTTCCACCTAAAATTTGAAAATAAAGACAATTCATTGCCTGAGGTTTCCAAATAACTGAATTAAATTTTCTTAAAAGTCATCCAGTCGCAGGATCCAAAATTTACCAATGTTTATACAATACAATTCTTTTCCAAACACCTCACCGGTAAGAGAGAAAAAAATGGGTCAAAAAAATTGATATGAAAATTTAAAGTTTGAACTGACAAAGTTATACTACATAGAAAAAATAAATAAATAAAAGGAAAGACATTTGGGTCATCAACTTTTGGTGTCCATAAAATTATCTTCAGTCTTTCTTAGAAATTCATTTTCTCCAAACATCTTTTCCTTTTTCTATACCTCTTCCTCTGTTTTCCTGTTCTGTTACCCCACTATATATATATTTTTGCATGGATACTTTAACCTTTAAATTCTATTTATATCAGGATCAAATTCTTAGTAAAGTGGAATTTAAGTTCTTTTGAGGGAAAAAAAAACACAACAAACACTATATTAAAAATAATAAAGAGAGGTCTCTTTTAAGTAGAACATACAGAGCAAGCAAAATATTGGGAGCAAGGGAGGTTGTGGAATGATTAGCTTATAAACAACTCTCTTCTCCTCTGACTGGAAAAGCCACCAAAACCGTGTTGGAATTTACATTAGGAAGACTGAATTTCTGTACAATTTATACTCTCTTATAACAGAGAGAATAAATCTGTTTTGAACGATTCCTTATGATTTATATAACATTTTACTTGTAAGCATACATTCTAGGAATTTCTTTCATTCTCATTGTTTATTTTAGATTTCACAACATTTGGAGCATAAACATAGACTTTTGTATTTTAACTCTCTCAATATTCAAGTATAATTAAGTTATTAGGGGAAGATTGCAATAACAAATTGGAAATATGAAAGGTCACAGTTCACAAAGCAGCTGCCTGAGGAGGCATTTCACTTCAAAGTAATGGTAAAATAAAATGGAAAAGAAATGAAAGATGTTGCCATGGGGGAGGAGGGGAGGGGGACGAGTTTGTACTTATAAAATGAAATCTCATCAACTTGAAATATTACACATTTTATATTACTTTTTCTAAGGTAATTAAACAGTTTTATCTGAGGTTTACTAAAGGCATTTCAAATAGAGAATTTAGAGTTATTGGTAGGAGGTATTTCTAGTTCTTACACAAATCTAAATATGATGGTCAATCTCAGCCAATAAGAAACAAATATCCTGGATAACAGCCCCCACCCCAACTAGCAATATAATTCTCCTTTTGAAGGTTACTATATCATTTAGTCATATTTAATAAATAGATTTTCCAAAAAGTCTTCTTATCAAGAAATTTTTATCTTTAGGATCTTTGAAAATTCCTCCAACAGAAAAGATAAACATAAAAATAGATATCTTTCCTCTTTCTCACATTAGCCTAATGAATGACAAGGTTGAGAAAGTTGTTAATCTTTGAATCCCTAAGGTTTCATGCCAGAAGGATCTGTAGCACATTCAGACAAATATGAAAGGACCTATGCACTCAATAAAATCAGTGACTAGTTCTGTTAAATTTATCTCTTGCCTCCTCTCTGTCACCTTCTCATTGCCTTTCACAAACAGGTAGCAGCTCTGATTTGTACAGGTGAATAACTATGGTTGTGATAAAGGAAAATTTCCTCTCTTGTGATTTCCTGTCCCTTACTTGCTAACTATTAAAATTCATGCATTGTACTTAAAAGGTGGAGACGGTATTCATAAGAAAGGCTAGATTTTACTAAAAAAGACAACAATACTAAAGTCATAAATGCCTGATGAAAAATTCAAATACAACAAGAAAATATGTTGGAAACACAATAGTCCTCAGTAAATGCTTATTTTACTGACATTATTTTGTGAGATTATATCTGTATTAGTTCTGGGTTTAGAGATAGCATAAGATCAAAAATTAATCTTAAAGGTACTCATTAGTTCAAAGAATTGAGATTTTTAAAGATATGTTTACAATGCAAAAGTTTTAGTGTTTTCAAAGTATTCACAGAAACAAATACATACTGAATAATTAGCTCTATTTATTTTTTAAAAATAGTATTTTTATACCAGGTAGATGAAGCTATTTATAAAGTTAGTGACTTCATACCCTGATAGTTTTTCTCATATTAAGCAATTATCACTTGTAATAAAAAACTACAAATTCAAGAGTGTAAGACCTCAATACTTACCCTGACTACACTGAAGTCCAGCTTAGTCTCCTGTGCACACTGTAATATGAGCTGAAAGCAATTTTTACTTTGATTTGTCATTCCATTTTCATAATAACGCTGTAAAATCCTTTGTTGCTCTACAGTAAATACAGAACGTAGATTCATCTAAAAATAAAAGAAGATACTCTGAAAATTGGAATAAAAATTTGGTATGTGTAGTAGTTGCACGCTTTTGTTTTTTAAACAATTTCAGTGCTTAAAAGCTGCAAGATTTCTTTAAGCCAATTAATCCCCTGTAATGGGCAATAATTTGTGTGCTAAAGAGAGACGGGTTCTCACTGAAAAATTATACATAATACAAACACACTGAATTTGCTCAGAAAAAGGACCAACTTTAAAAATGAAAAAGAAAGCCCTTATTAATGTCAGTGCATGGGGAAAAAAGGATCTTTCACTGAAATAAATATTAATGACTACTAAAGCCAGAGATGGTGGTAGCCATACGTGGTCAATTATCAACAGGGACATTCACTGTTCTTTGTCAAGCAAGACATCTGGCATATGTCTTACAGCCAGAAGCTGTGCTCTGGGACAAAAGGGTGCTTTTATTTTTCCTTATTCTGGGATAAGAGGTTCTTTTTATATATTAAAATAAAATAATTTTTAAAGTTTAAAAATAAACAAGGCTTTATAACTATAAAAATTTCTTTGCTTTAGGCAATATAAGCAAAATAAATTTTAATAACTGTAGTATATAAATAAAAATTCAATCGCATGTACATTTTACTAAAAAGAAACCATATAAAAACTATTGTACTTTTTATTTAAATTGACACCATCATAATTAGATAAGAGAAATTTTAAAAATATACTTTATCCTTCCCATCAATAAGCAAGGTGTTTAATATTAAGGGAAAACAACTCTGTGACTCTCATAAATAAAAGACAGTCAAACTCTTTTTAAAAAGATAAATTCTATTCTTCTTTTATGTACAAACTGATATTAATCTTTAAAATACAAATATTAAAAAAAAGCTTTCGAACAACAACGACAAAAAGATAAATTCTAGTAGCACAATTTATAAAAAAAAGAACACTTGTAATAAAATTAAGGCAATTTCAGGTTCTTGTTAAAAGCTGTAAAACTGAAATTGTTATTGCTAAAATTTGACAGACAGAAAGAAAACCCTTCCCAAGGAAAGATCTCTTCAAAATTAGGAAAATGGCAACAACAAAAAACACCATAAGCCAAACCAAATAGAAATTATTCTAGTATACTGGGTATGGAAACAATCAAGTACATGGAAATAAAAAATAATTACCCTTTCTCTGAATATTTTAAACAAAAAAGCAGTCTCATAAAGAAATTAAAGACAGTCATATAGCCATCCATTAAAATTTGTACATCTGACTTTCTTTCTTGTCCACACAAATACCTTCCTAACCGATGTTAGGATATTCTATTAAAGACAACATGGATGGCCCTCAGGATAATCATGCTAAGCGAAATAATCCAGACAGAAAACGTTGAAAATCACATGATATCACTTATATGTGGGATATAAACCTAAAAGCAACAAATAAATAGGACAAACAAACACAGACTCATGGACATGTGCTATAGACTAGTGGTTACCAGAGGGTAGGGGGTGGGGGGGAGGGGGTAGGTAGATGGGGTAAAGGGAGTCAAATATGTGGTGACAGAAAAAAA